TCTCAACGAGATATTTTCGAAAATTTGTTGACGAAAAGTATTATATGACAGATTATGTAAATCTTTACGAGTTCATCGCTCAAAGTGCGAAAAATTTCTACATCCCAAAGGGACGGGGGAAAGTATAGAAAAGAGAAAAAATATAGAAAAAGGATAAACATAAAAGAAGAAAGAAGTTAATAATTCTAAATTTTTTTATTACAAACAAACGAAATCAGTAAATTCAATTTAATGATTCCAAAAGTATTTCCAATACGAAATTTGCTCTTAACGTATTTGTCTCACAAAAACGTTAAGATCCATCGTGTTTTGTCACACGTAACTTCTATATCACGATTTTCCAAAGTCAAAGAGATTCGAGTTCCTGAATTTTGAAAGATCAGATATCAAGTCATAGTAAAAAGAGCAAGTAGATAGGAAAACTAACTCAGAGAAGATGCGAAGAAAGAAGAAAGAAAGAGGGAGGGAAGGAGATAGTAGGGGCGCATTAACGAGCTTTTCCTAATTATGAGAAAAAACTGGACTGTGCGATTAAGGGCTGCGCTGGTCTCTCCCCTATACTCGTGTTAGACGGTGGGCCACGAGAGCAGCGTGGAAAACTAATTGAAACCGCCTAACGACCCGCCGGCAAATGATACATCAGTCTCGAGGAAACCGGCCCCGCCGTCTTAATACCGTTTCGCCTTATTCGACGATCATCGGGCACCGAGCAATTTCGTCTTTTACTCTCCCTTTTCCGGCTTTTCGCCACGATCTCTCTCCCAGTCGTGTTCCCTCTGTTCGAGTTGTGCCTTCGCACGTCTAATCACCGGCTTCAACGAAGATCGAGGATGCATCTGCACGAACGATTTGTCGTTGTTTTCCTTCGACAAAACGTTGCATAAACGGACAATTCGTTTCGTTATATTTTTAACTCAACTCAAATGACTTGGAAGTTAGATGTCGATCTCTATTCAGTATAGCATAATAATTACACAGTGTATGTTATCTTGATAGATATTTTAATTAATTTCAAGGCAGTATATTGTATATTTGTCTACAACTGCATCGGTATAATACGTTTGATTCAAGCATAATCAGGTGAAGTTTAAAAAATATCGATTTGATTGGGATTTTTTCCCAAGAGTTTTGAATAATATGAAACAAGGTCTGTCTCATTATATTTCTACTGGTAAAAATCTTTTTCACTTTCATCATGAATATGTTTACTTGTTCAATTTTTATATCTATAGATTCGTTATTTATTTACTAAATTAATACATTCACTACAACATACCTATACTTCATAACTATCTAGTTTTCTGTATTTATCATTACGATAATTTCGTAGTTCTTCGAAGATTTCATCATCGATAGAGTGCTATAAAAAAACTCTCTTAAAGTCATTCGTTCGTAATATCAATGTTAGCCCAGACGAAATAATCTGTCTCAAAATAGGGATTAAATCTCTCTGATATTAGCGGGGGAAAAAAAAAAAAAAAAAAAAAAAAAAAGAAAAAAAAAATAAACGATTTTAACGTCTGTGGACGAGTGTTACGAGCGTAACGGGATGATTATATGCTACCTCTTGGATACTCAAGATTGACGGATTCAAATTTGCCCGGGCTTAAGTCCAACGGGTTCCACGGTTTACGGACAGCCGGCTAAACTGGGATCAACCCTTTGCGCGGATTACAGCGTGTGTCATGTCACGCTTGATTTCGGTACAGGCGAAAGAGGGTGTGAAGACCAGGAACAAGTGGTCGTCGCTCCCTCCTCTGGCTAAGTATTTAAAATGGCAGAGGCGGAAGGTGGAATCTAATTAAGCGCTTCTAAAAGGATCGTAACGTGTATCGATGCAATTAAATTTTAATGAGCCCCGATTATTAACTAGCGTTTCAGCCTCGAAAATCGTTTCTTCCTTTTTGCTTTCTTTCCCTCTGTCGTTGGTACAAGGTCTTGACGATATTTTCTTTTGCTTGCATTTTATAAGCATCGCTTTATTCAGATCGATTTTTACAAGTTGCAGATAATTGAAACATTTTTGTACACAAGTGACGAAATATAAACTATAGTTGCTAAGTTACGTTATAGCATTACGTTGCTAGAGGAATTATCCATTGTTGGAAGTTTGATTAATCAATTGTTTTATAGTGCGCGTTTTAGACAGATATGCAACGAAGCAATTTTCGCAAAAGCTTCCTTTTCATATGGATTAATAATTCGTTCAGATGTTTATATAGAAGTATTCTTCGTTAAATATAAATATAGATAGAATTCTCCGACGAATTTTGTATATGTCAGTACTTGTAAAATTTTGTCAAACTCGAAATTTCAGTAGGATTTTTCCACAGAAACGATTGAAACCGTGATTATTCAAAGAATGCCCGTAGAATTTTATTTCACATTCCGACCAGCGAAAACGTTGCTTTCGATTCATCGCGGATACTTTACCCTTTGTCGACCAAGGGTAAAGGTAGGAAATACTTTTCCACACCGATGCCATTGTCTTTCCTCGCATCTCTGGGTGATTAATCCTTCAGACCCTTTTTTGCCGCGATGGTAATTATCGAAAAATCTCCATTTTCTTCGTTTATGATAATTTACACACGAAAATTAAAACTTTTCTTAAGACAATTCTAATTGCGCGAGTATGAAACACGTTGTTCTTAGAATTATTTTTTTTCTTCTTTTCTTCTTCGAGATATCGTCTCTGTTTCATCTTTCGAGTGTCTCGTAAACGTATAACAATCTTCTAATCGATTCTCGCGTGAAGTCAGTTTGACACAGACGCGTGTACTGTTTCATCTTTTCGATATTATTCGCGTTCGAAGGTGTATCATCCGGGTTGCTCTTTATTAGCAATTAACAAAGACCTGTTAATCGGTCTGAACGAGGTCTTCACGTTCGGTAGGAAGCTCTTCGCGTCTCGGGGGAAACAAATGGTGTCGCGGATTGCAATCTGTTTGAGCTGCCTCTGAACAAAGTCCTGCACCAATCCGTCAACGTCACCTGGATGGATTTCCGAAAGGATTAGGTATTTGCATAGACGATCGCTCAACTTCTATCGAGAAAGAGGGCCCTCCTTTCTTTTTATTGGTCTCGACATACCAAGGAACAGTTCCCTTAGTTGCGTTGCAACGGGATGAAACCCTGGATCTTCCTAAATGTATGAAGTTTCTAAACATATTATCGTTTGAGTAGTCCCGGTTGAAGAAATTCATTTGAAGAAAAATATTTTGTTTATAACGTAGTGCTAAGTTTGGAGTACTGCTTGTAATAAAAAAATGTATGTCAGGGTTGGGCAAGTTTTTGTTTGAAATAAAGATAACAAATAACAATTTGAAACAATCGGTCATTTCCACTAATTTATTAATTTTTATTTGAAAAATAACTTCACCACATCAAGTAAATCGTTTGCAAGTAATTTTTAATTTAAGTCGGTTCGTTAAAATAAAGTAATGAATAATGAATAATGAATAATTTTATTTGTGGAAGCAGATATGAAATACAGAGTGAAAAAAGTTATTTTATTTGATAGTCAGATAATTAAATAATTTACGTATTATTTAATTATTTCAAGATAAATCAATTAATTTCAAAATAATGTCCTATTTAAATAATTATTTAAATTTATTTTATTTTGAATAATTATTTAAATTTATAATTGTTTTTCGAATATTTTATTCAAATATTGCCCGTGAAGAATTAAGAATTGGTGTTCGAATTTGTTTAAAAAATTTTTTTTGTTTAATTCATTCATATTTCTTCTTGTTCAAA